ATTGCACTACCAAAAGGTTACAGTATAATCTGCACCAGAGTAGGTGAAAGTGCTGGTAGGATCATCATAAGCGTAGCTATAGGATCTGGGGCAAGCAGATTTGAACATCTGAGCATAAGCGGACGGCTTGCAGGTGGAAGGTGAGTTAAACGCGTCGCTGCAGCAATACTCTGGACTCCCCAAAAGCTTCACACGCACTCTTACAAGCTTCCCTTCCACCTATTCGCAGTTCACTTGGGCAGACCCGTTTCAGATCCGTGATGCAAGACGTTGAAGCACACAAACCCGACCCACTGCACAGCGAAGCTTAGAGATGAAGCGGCGCTCGCTGCACAGCGACGAGCTCCACCGTGGTCTTCAATGACATAGGCGACGCTACAGAGAGGTGGGGGAAGTGAGGCGAGAGAGAGGTGAGGGAGAGAGGCTGGAGGAAGTGAGGAGAGAGAAAGAGGGGTGAGGGAGTTGAGAGTGATGAATTAGGGTTAGGGTTTTGATATATTACCTGAATTTTGAATAAATAAACTTTGGATCTGATTTTTAAAATATTATCTTTAAACCCTTGATTTTTTATAATTTCCCCAAAAATTTATACGAAACGTATTTTAGAAGTAAAAAAAGTGATTAAAAAAAAGAGTAACAAAAAATAAAAATAAAAATTGATAGAAAAAAAAATGGCAAATATAAAAAAGTAATAGAGATAAAAAAGATGGAAAAAAGTGACAAATTTTTTAAAAAAAATGACACACCTGAAAAAGACACAAAATACCATTCACAAAAGTTACAGTTTTTTTTCAAAAAAAAAAAAAAAAATTAAAAAACAATAAAAAAAAAAAAAAAAAAAAACAGAAGTCAAATTCTTCTTTCACAATGTATCCAANATAGAAATTTTGAAAAAGTGACACACTAAATAAAAAAAAAAAAAGGGTCACATACACCAATCAAAAAATTAGAATAGATCCAGTGGATACAAATTATCTCTTTATAATTATACTTCACTTACATTATCTAAACATAGAACATAACTTAATTTTAGGAATATAACAACCTATAAGTTGGAAGCGACATAAATTCAAAAAAAGTGACAAAAATTAAAAGAAGAGACAAATTTACATTTGGTGAAATCTAAAAAGTGTAATGTTGGAGAGAGATATGTTGGTGATAGACAAACTTACATTTGTCAATTATATGTTGGTGATATTAATATACAAGATTTTATCTTTATTTCTATCATTAATATTATCCGAGTCGCCTTGCGAGCAGGCCCGATTTTGGGCCGAGGCCAGTGAGGCCAGCGCCTCAGGCCCAAAATCAGGGAGGGCCTCGATTTTTT